TTCATCTTGTTTGTTTTGCATACTTTGTATTAAAGCCAAGCCTGGATATTATATATTTTGTAATTTGTTTAAAGTAATTTCTATTAAAGTAAAGTATTTTAAAATTTTTGTTCTCTATGTTTTCTCCTACAGTGAAGATAACTTGCAGTTTAACATTTTTTTTCTTTAATTTTTAATTTTGTGACAGGCATTCCATCTGCCTAGAGAAGACTGCAATAACACCTATTTTTTACCGTCACAGTATATACGTTCATGCATGCTCCCCCATCGTCCATACACGCAGATCCACACATGCTGCAACACACGTGAAGATCCTTGCAAACACACGCCATCAGCCACCTGGCAACGATTTCACCATACGGGGCTCACCATAGCCCGTGCTACTTGGAACTGCTTGTTCCAAGTAGCGAATCTTTAACAACAACAACCACCTGGCAAAAGCGAGCAAGCTTGGCTTAGCTTCCAAACAAACGTACACCCCGTCAACAAAGCTGGCATCCTCTCCAAATCCGTGTCAGGGCAAGAGTTGGGGTGGCTAGGGGTTAGGTTAAGGGTTGAAGGGCTTGGGTAGGTGAAGGGGAGGACTGGGGGATGGGTAAGCGGACCGTTGATGGGGAAGGGGCATCCCTCTCTCTCTCTCTCTCTCTCTTGGATGAGAGAGTGGGATTGAAGGGGAGGGGATTACAGGCCCCTGGGAGAGAAATGGGGGGACCGAGGGGATGGAATAGGTCACGGGGGAAGGGGGACCGGGAAGGAGGTCTAGCAAGGGGGACCGGGGAAGGAAGACCCGTAAATGAGAACCGGAGATGGGAAAAAGTATTTTGCTATTAGGTAAGAGGATGAAGAAATATGATGAGAGAGGAAGGAGGAGGAAATAAACGGAAAAGGAAATAGTAACGCGAAGGAAAACACACTGAACAATAAAGAGTGAACAATAAAGAGTGAACAATAAAGAGTGAACAATAAAGAGCTGCAAAATACCACAAGTTAATTGTGGAAAGCGATTAAAGGATAATGAATAAATTGCAATAATTGAGGTGAGAAGAGAGGAATTGAGGGAGAAAGGAGGAAACATTGTAATAAATGATAACTTGCAAAAGGTGTGAAAGAAGGAGGGGGGTGGGGGGGAGGGGAGAGAATGCTGATTAGATTATATAATCTGAGTATTTACCCGAAATGTACCTGTTGCCGGTTTCAAGAGTCCTTACTCCCTTAACCCGTCCCATATGTTTGTTTTTTTTTCTGTGATGATTTGATGGACAATGCTGTTGCTGCCAGCGGCCCGCATGGTCCATACACTGCCACAACAACCTAGCTGATCCGGAACGTCTTAAACGAATCTGTTTAATTCACAAATAAAAATTTCAACCAGTATACCAGCAGTATTTCTTTTATGTTCCTGTAGAACGTCGATGAGTCGTATAGATTCTGGTGTTCATCCATCGTTCTCCGATTGTTCTTATTCCTCTATTTATATAGTGTTCTCCGATTGTTCTTATTCCTCTATTTATATAGTGTTCTCCGATTGTTCTTATTCCTCTATTTATATAGTGTTCTCCGATTGTTCTTATTCCTCTATTTATATAGTGTTCTCCGATTGTTCTTATTCCTCTATTTATATAGTGTTCTCCGATTGTTCTTATTCCTCTATTTATATAGTGTTCTCCGATTGTTCTTATTCCTCTATTTATATAGTGTTCTCCGATTGTTCTTATTCCTCTATTTATATAGTGTTCTCCGATTGTGCTTACGAGTCGTCTGTTCTTCAATGTGTTTGTTCTACACATTCATCAATAACTTTCGCTCTTGTATGCTATATTATTGTGCAGATTGGGGAGCTCTGCCTTCGTGGACCTGGCCAGCGCTGAGAACGTCCAAGAGTTGCCAGCGCTGAGAACGTCCAAGTGCTGCCAGCGCTGAGAACGTCCAAGAGTTGCCAGCGCTGAGAACGTCCAAGAGTTGCCAGCGCTGAGAACGTCCAAGAGTTGGCAGTGCAGAGAACGTCCAAGAGTTGCCAGCGCTGAGAACGTCCAAGAGTTGCCAGCGCTGAGAACGTCCAAGAGTTGCCAGCGCTGAGAACGTCCAAGTGCTGCCAGCGCTGAGAACGTCCAAGAGTTGCCAGCGCTGAGAACGTCCAAGAGTTGCCAGCGCTGAGAACGTCCAAGAGTTGCCAGCGCTGAGAACGTCCAAGAGTTGCCAGCGCTGAGAACGTCCAAGAGTTGCCAGCGCTGAGAACGTCCAAGTGCTGCCAGCGCTGAGAACGTCCAAGAGTTGGCAGCGCTGAGAACGTCCAAGAGCTGGCAGCGCTGAAAACGTCCAAGAGTTGGCAGCGCTGAGAACGTCCAAGTGCTGCCAGCGCTGAGAACAACGAACAACAGGGATGAGTCGCAGGAGCGTAACTATCCCCTCCCCCCCTAAATCCCCCCCCCTTCCCCCCACACCCTCCCCCCCCTCCCTAAATCCCCCGTCCCCCACACCCTCCCCTCCCTAAATCCCCCGTCCCCTACACCCTCCCCTCCCTAAATCCCCCGTCCCCCACACTCTCCCCCCCCTCCCTAAATCCCCCGTCCCCCCCACACTCTCCCCCCCCCCCTAAATTCCATCCTCCCACCCCACCCTTCTCCATCAGCCTTACCTACATCAGACAGTTGGAGGACCTGGCCAAACACCCCTCGAGTCTTCAGTATACATATACATACACATACACCCACCCTCCCCCCCCCACAGGGAGGGGGGTTGGGAACCCCCCCCCCCCCCAGTGTTTTCTATCAAGTTGGGGAGGGGGTTAAACAGTCTATAAGCAGTAAAAAAAAAGTGTGTACGTGTGAATGCATAACTGGTAAACTGACAGAAATTATAAGATAGTGAAGACAGATGAGATAGTGGATTTGGAATTAATTGTTGTAACGACACCTGGGAGGCGACACCTGGGAGGCGACACCTGGGAGACGACACCCTGGGAGACGACACCCTGGGAGGCGACACCTGGGAGATGACACCTGGACACACTCAACCTATCGTGCTCCAGCAGACCGAGTAAGGTCTCAGGGACCCCTTGTTGACTAAGGTAGTTTATTGCTATGACAACATCAGGGCGGGCGACCAGGGCGGGCGACCAGGCTGGGCGACCAGGCCAGGCGACCAGGCTGGGCGACCAGGTCGGGCGACCAGGCCAGGCGACCAGGCTGGGCGACCAGGCCGGGCGACCAGGGCGGGCGACCAGGCCGGGCGACCAGGCCGGGTGACCAGGCCGGACGACCAGGGCGGGCGACCAGGCTGGGCGACCAGGCCGGGCGACCAGGCCGGGCGACCAGGCCGGGCGACCAGGCCGGGTGACCAGGCCGGACGACCAGGGCGGGCGACCAGGCTGGGCGACCAGGCCGGGCTACCAGGTCGGGCGACCAGGCCAGGCGACCAGGCTGGGCGACCAGGCCGGGCGACCAGGGCGGGCGACCAGGCCGGGCGACCAGGCCGGGCGACCAGGCCGAGCGACCAGGCCGAGCGACCGGGTCAACCAGCATGAGGGAAGAGGAGGACAGGTTTACAGAGAAAGTGAGAGGGGGAAATATGTTGAGAGGAGCAGAGATTGGGATAGAGAATATAATCCTTGGAATTAAAAAATAATTCCACAACTAATGGATGAGCCTGAGAGCCAAACACAAGTGCTCAAGGACTATATTCAGGGGAAAAATCAGGAAGATGAGGGAGAGAATGGAAAAGCATATGAACAGTGCTTGACAAGGAGTTAGGAGCAGGAAGTATTAATACGGATAGGAGGGGATCTGATTAGTGGGGGATGGATTAGTGGGGGATCTGATTAGTGGGGGATCTGATTAGTGGGGGATGGATTAGTGAATATGGGTACAAGATAGTGAGGGGGGGGGGGGGTAGGCTACGGAAGTTAGAGGAGCAACTTCAGAAAATACGGGAGATTGCAGACGCTACAAGTAGCAACAAGGTGGGAAATGATACTCAGTAAGTGCTGTAACACTGTGGGGTAAGAACCAGCATGAACGTGGACCACAGAGGAGGCGGACACCTGTCATTCATGGATTATGACAAGCAAAGACAACGTCAAAATATGAAAGAATATAAATTGAAACGTTTAAATTGGTAGGAGGCGGCCCCCGCCTCCTACCAATCCTTCCCCCCTCCTTCTACCCCAAAACCCATTCCTTCCCCCTAGCACACCCTCTTTCTGACTCCCAACCTCACTACCTGTAAGGCCCCCCCCCCCTCCCCCTGTGCCTCTCAGACTCTTCCTACCCCTCAAACCCACTATGCCCTTAGGAAATGTATTCCTCACTTTCCATAAATGTGAGGAATACTAATATATAATATAATAATAATAATAGAATATAATATGTGTGGAAAAGTCAAACAACACTGCGAAGGAGGGAGGTGAGGTAATTATCAGCAGGAAGCACGAAGACAGTCTCACTACCCGCCAAACACACACCGAAACTACGACGTTGGTACAACGTTCGAACAAGTTTTAACACTTCCTAACCAGTTATAACAACCAATATAACAAGTTGTAACAACGTTCTAATACGTCATAAACACGTTAAGCCAAGATGTAACAACTTTATTACAAGTTGTAACAAGCGGAAAATAGAGACAGTTTCGGTTTGTGTTTCCAGGGTATACACCACTTGGAAGGAACACGAGGGCATGTAAGGATCTGGGATAAGATGGAAGAAAGACAGGAATGGTGCCCAACCACTTGAAACAGTCGGGGATTGAGCGCAGACCTGCCAGAAGCAAGGCCGTCCAGTCCAAGTGGTTGGGCCGCGAGAGGCCGAAAACATGATCATAAAATTAAATAAAATACCTTTAAAAGATGGTTAACAAGAACACTAAACAAGCTGTTGGTTGGAGCATAAACTACGAGCCACTGGCGGACCTGTGACAAGTGCATGTGTCATTACAAGTATGTCATTACAAGTGTGTCATTACAAGTGTGTCATTACAAGTGTGAGGTGTGAGGGAGGCCTTACCGTGCTTGCCGGTGAGGCGAGGAGACCCCAGCACCAGGCGCCTCCCGAGGCTTGCTTCTCCACCACCACCACCACCACTCCTCCAACACTGCCTCCAACACTGCCTCCAAAACTCACTCCACCGCCAAGCCTCGCCACGCCCTGTTGAGACACCAGAGATGCTGTCATGAGAGAGAGACTCACTCAACAGATGCGCCACAATGAATGATTATTGCCGTCTAAATAATATATGCGAGCAGCTTGATCAGACCACCAACCAGGAGGCTTGATTAGAGACCGGGTCGTGTGGACAATGATTCCCAGAACCAGTACAAGGTAGAAACAGTTTTCTTTACACAGGAGGGTATAGGAGCGGACGAATTATAACTCCTGTTAGCAGACCGACGACAGCTTTCCCTTCCCATAGTTCATGGCAAGTCTTACCCCCTCTTAATTGTTCGTCATATCCTCCTAGTTTTCCATGGAACACGATCCGCTAACTAGTTAACAACTAGGTGCCCAGTTAATGCTGGGTGAACAGGGAGAAACAGTTAATAACTGGCGCCCAGTCAATCCTCCCTGGCCAGAATTCGAACTCAAACCAAATAACTAGCGAGGCGCGGGGCGAGTGTTAACACAACGACACCACGGATTGATTAGGGTTATTGTAACCGTGAACGAAAATTTAACTTACAGGACGACATGTATAGGAAAGTTAGTAGAGATCCCGGGCCACAAAGTTAGCAGAGATCTGCATTTATGCGGCTACCCTAGACTATGTGAAGGGTTGCATAGTTTGTGTCAAGAGCTAACCATATATTACTAAAAAGTCTCCCTCTGCCTGGATAGTTTGTCACACAGGGTCATATAATCACTCGCCTACAGTACAAAAACTTTGGGAGTATAATGATGGTTTCTACAAGAACAAGTGAGTAAAGTAATTACCATGTTCCAGGTGGCTTGTACCAACAGGTCTCAATGGTTTAAAAGACTGGACACTCAGTAATATACTATGTGAGATCATGCCGCAGTTCCTGCTCACAGAGTTTGCACCTGGAGTGCTCAGGATTGGGACATCCGTCACCTGCAGCCACCTGCCACAGGTAACGGTAACCCAACCTGATCCTTGCAACCACTGTGTCGCACAGTCTAGTGGACGTTTTGTGCTGTCAAATTATTATATATTATATATATATATATATATATATATATATATATATATATATATATATATATAATCAATTTTTTCTCAAATCTAAACGAAACATCATTTTATACTGATGCCTTCAGCGGTCTAATTTCTCGTCTATTCAACATGAGTGTTTGAGATAATATAGTCTTAAATCACACACTCACCCTCACACTCACTCACACACACACTCACACTCACACTCACACACACACACACACACACACACACACACACGTACGTCCAAGAGCTATTGGTCGATCTAATTCAACAAGGTTGAATTCTTTTTTTGCCTTCTGCACAGATTCTTTTTGGACTCTTTACAATTCTACGGATCGCCTATGTCACGTTTCACTACCTTACTCCACGTCAAAGTTGTTGCATCCTGATAAAACCATGACAAATATCACGTTAAAAACCATCCTTTTCATTCTGAGTCATTAGTTTAGCAACAACTAGTCCTGGGATATCTTATCTTGAGGTTATCTTGAGATGATTTCGGGGCTTTTTTTTTTAGTGTCCCCGCGGCCCGGTCCTCGACCAGGCCTCCACCCCCAGGAAGCAGCCCGTGACAGCTGACTAACACCCAGGTACCTATTTTACTGCTAGGTAACAGGGGCATAGGGTGAAAGAAACTCTGCCCATTGTTTCTCGCCGGCGCTTGGGATCGAACCCAGGACCACAGGATCACAAGAGATACCTGCTAAAAATTTACCACCATTATATCTGGCCGTTTATGACAGGTGTGGGGGCTTGCCATATATGACAGGTGTGGGGGCTTGTTGTTCATCGTCTAGTGATGTGCTTCAAGTTTCATTGACATTTCCTCAGGGTTTCCGAGACGGGGCTCGTAAAACAGGTCTTCACTTGGCACCTGGCGAACATGATTACCGTTTTTAACAAGCGTGGCTGTTTTTACGTAAAGCGAACTCCGAGAACTAGGCAAATGACACTAAAGAATGCTGAAAGGACCAACTAAGATGCTAACGAACACTTGAAACCAAACATTTGGTTTCATCCTGGAAACACAAACCGTAACTGTCTCTATTTTCCGCTTGTTACAACTTGTAATAAAGTTGTTACATCTTGGCTTAACGTGTTTATGACGTATTAGAACGTTGTTACAACTTGCTATATTGGTTGTTATAACTTGTTAGGTGATGTTAAAACTTGTTGGAACGTTGTACCAACGTCGTAGTTTCGTTGTGTGTTTGGCCACTCTGCCACCAGGGGGACTGGTGGCTGAGTGGACAGCTTTCGGTACTCCTAATCCTATGGACCGGGGATTCGATCCCCGACGCCGGCGAGAAACAAAATGGGCAGAGTTTCTTTCACCCTGATGCTCTGTTACCTAGCAGTAAATAGGTACCTGGGAGTTAGAGAACTGTTACGGGCTGCTTCCTGGGGGGGGGGGGAAAGGCGGGATAAATTAGCAGTTAGTAACAGTTGATTGATTGACAGTTGAGAGGCGAGCCGGAAGAGCAGAGCTCAACCCCCGCAAGCACAACTTGGTGAATACAACTAGGTGAATACACACACACACACACACACACACACACACACACACACACACACACACACACACACACACACACACACACACACACAAACACACACATGCAACGCGAGCGCGCACACACTCACACGCAACGCGCCAAGGGCACACTCACACGCAACGCACACACACACTGATATAATCACGCATTGGCTCATAAAAGTACACGTGACTCATCAATGTTCCGTATGGAAATGAACCGAGCAAACAGTACCCAAGTGTGTGTGTGTGTGTTCCCTCCACCTCACTCCTATCCCCTTCCCTCCACTCTCCCTCCTTTCCTTCCTTCCCATATCTCTCTCTCTCCCACCCTCCCTCTCTCTATCCCATAATCTTTCTCATCCTCTCTTCTATACACACACACACACACATACACACACCACACTTTCCAACTCTCTGACCATCCACCATATCTCTCTCTCTCTCTCTCTCTCTCTCTCTCTCTCTCTCTCTCTCTCTCTCTCTCTCTCTCTCTCTCTCTCTCTCTCTCTCTCTCTCTCTCTCTCTCTCTCTCTCTCTCTCTCTCTCTCTCTCTCTCTCTCTCTCTCTGTCACCCGTATAACTAACCCACTAGACTAGAGCATGTTAGAAGACTGGTCGAGGAACAGCAACACAGAGGGAGAGGAGGCCAGTGAGAAACAACTATAGATATAATGAACCCAAGATTTGATTTCAGTCGAAAGTTGGAAAGAAATAAAGGCAGCAATAAAAGGCCTTCAGGGTGAACTGGGAATGGCAAAGGAGATAAAATACCTCGAGAAAACCCCCACTATGAGACAATTAACACTCGGGATATTGTCACCATAACACTAGTACATGCGTTGGAGATATGGAAAGCATTAACAGGTAATTTTCTCAGGTGGATAAGAGTGTGTACTCGACAAGAGAAGAGAGAGAGTTACTGTATGGGAGAGATCTCAATGTGGTGTGATGTCACCAGCGGACTCCCACAGGGTTCAGCACTTGGACCTATCATATTATTTACATACGTAAATGACCTTCCAGAAGGAAGACTCGTTCCTCTCACAATGTTTGCTGATGAGGCAAAAATTGAAGAGGGCACACAATCACTAGGACCAACTATATGAATGGTCCAACAAGTGGCTACTTGAGTTTTACTCAAGTACGAAGGCAAAAACTAGACAAAAGGAGCATGAGGCCGGACCCAAGGTACCAAATGGGAGATAAAATCCTTCAGGAATCAGATAGCGAAAAAAGATCGGGGGGTTGATATCATACCGAATCTGCCTCCTTAAGCACACGATAAAAGGATATCTTCAGGAGCATATGCTAGGTTGGCTACCATCAGAACTGTCTTTTAGAAATTTGTGTAAGGAATCATTTAGAACCTTATATACAACATACGTCAGACTAATTTTCAAGTGCACGACTCCACCGTAGAGTCCATATCTAGTTAACCACAAGACGAACTTAGAAAAAGTTCAGAGGTATGCCACCAAACTCGTCCCAAAACTGAGAGGTATGACTTACGAGGAAAGGCTACAGGAATTGATCCTCACGTCTCTGGAAGACAAAGAGAGTTAGTGGAGACATGATTACCACATACAAAATTCTCAGGGAAATAAATATGGTGAATACAGCCAGTTGATTTATCTCGGATGGCACTCGAATAAGGGAACACAGGTGGAAACTGAGTACCCAAATGAGCCACAGGGACATTAGAAAGAAGTGAAAGAAATTTCCAGTGCCAGAGTAATTAAGAAATGAAATGGAATGGAATTATCAGGAGAAAGGGCCAAGTCATTACGACTATATAGCCCTTGGAAGGGGATGAGGATACGGATTTGGGATGGGACGGGGGAATGGAATGATGCCCAACTACTTGTTCGATCGGGGATTGAACGCCGACCTGCATGAAGCGAGACCGTCCATTCCAAGTGGATTAAGACATGAAGTGCACTAAGAACTGATGTGGTTGAAACTCCATACACACTTTCATAAGTAGATATAACCGGACCCCATTAGCTTCAGGAACCTATACACCAGTTAACGGAAAGTTGAGAGGGATGCCGGGGACCAAAGACACGAAGCTCACCCGGAAAGTATAATTAGTTGAGTACAAGTAGGTAAGCATACTCATGAGTCGCATTAATCAAGTACATTATAATGAGTACGAGGATAGAGGGAGGCGAGGGGATTTAGGGGGGGCTTACGACATGGAGGGAGCAGGGGGGAGGGGAGGGAAGGAGGGATGGATGGATGGAAGGAAGGAGTTGGGGCAGGGAGCCGACATCCGGGATAATGAAGACAAAACTGCTCCACCTCCAAAATGTCTCAGATTGTGGCGAAAATTGCACAGCAGTTTGGAGGGATGAGTTGTTGGGTCACAATTCACGGCTATTGTTTATGTACTTACCCCCAAGTGTG